CTTCCATAGAGTCCTCTGTTCTCCTATTCTTTCCAATACCTCTTCATTTCTAACCTTTTCTACCCACGATATCCTCATCATCCGCCTATAACACCACATTTCGAACGCTCCCACTGTCCATGTTTCGCACCCGTACAACGCCGTGCTCCAAACATACACCTTTAACAACCTTTTTCGAATTTCTAAAAAATGTTAGTTTCAAAAGATTGATCTCTTGGTTATATTAATGGCATTAATGAATGAGGATAATAAAATATATTTTCAAAAATCATACAATGTCCAACAAAAAATATTTTCTTCAGAAGGTTATGAAAAATTGCATCCAATATGTAAAGAACGTATTATTTTTTTGCATGCCTTTACGGGTTGCAATAGGATATCAGCGTTTTTCAAGAAAGGTAAAATTAAGTTTACCAAAAAATTTGAGAAACGCCATTATCTACACAAGTATTCAAAAATGTGAATGAAGACTTTAATAATCTATTTCAAGCGGGTGCAGCATGTATTTTGAGTTTATATGGAAAACAATTATCTTAACTTCTTAAATACAATCGTAAGGACAAGTATGGAAAAATGGACGGAAGAACTATTAGGGGAAAATCAATTTTGATTTAGAATAAATGGGGAAACGCGGGAGGACATTCTAGCTTTACGGGTAACAATAGAGAAAATGATAGAAAATTATAAAATAAATTAAATGGGACAAGATGCTAAATATACTTAAAACTGTAGGGATGAGAAACAGAGATAAAAGAGTGATACTTAGTTTCTGTAAAGAGCAACAGCGGATTACAGAACTTGAGCAGCAATGTAGAAAAGTAAATATTAGGAAGGGAGTCAGACAAGGATGCACACTGTCACCGCTACTTTTTAATCTATACATCGAAGACGCAATCAACATCTTAAAAAATAGGACAACTGTATAGATAGATATATAGGGGCAAAAGATTAGGTGGAAGAGAAAAGATTAGAAGCGTTCGAAATGTAGTGTTACAGGCAAATGATAGGATAGAGTAGGTTAGAAATGAGGGAAAAATACGAGAACAGAGAACTATATGAAAGTCAATAAGAAATAGGCGAGATAGTTTGATAGGCATGAAGGGCTAGTTAGAGACATTAGTAATCAACAGAAGTCTACTACTATCCTCTAAAAGCAGAAAATTAATCCAGTAGGTTTTTTTTTTTAATAAAAAAGAAAGTAATTTCAAAATGTCTCTAAAAAATAAGTTTCTGTAAATCGCAGCCGTCTATTTCCTACAAACCCGCTAACTTAAGTGTTTATTTAGTTTTTATTTTAGTTTTCTAATTAATAGAAAGAAAGAACGACTTCAAAGAAATATGTTTTGATGTCTCTCTTTTTTATGTTTCAAAAATATAAAATTAACCGTCTAGTTCATTAAAATTTTCTTATTATGAATATTTATTAGTTGCTAATCAAAACAAATAATATGATGGAGGTGCTGGGCGTCACTATATGTGTGTAGGCGATCACCCGGTCAAACAACCATATACATATTATGCCGACCGATCGCCAAATTTCCACACGTTTATAAAATTAAATTATTTTACATCAACCTAGACTAACCACAATCTAAAACTCTATCAAGAAATACATAAACATATATTGTTCGGTCCTTGTTAATTGTATATAATCATTGTGTATAGTCATTGTATATATTTTTGTAATATTTAGAAGACGTGCTATAAGTTAAGTTTTATATTTATATTAGTTTACGATAGTTGTTAGTTTGTACAAATTTTTATTATCACTTTGGATATTTATTCATAAGCACGCCTGGGAATTTCTTTGAACTGGACATCAACAAACAGGGATGGTTCGCAAATGTACAATTACCTACTTTCACAAACTTTTGCAATCACCCGCTGTGTCGGCATCTTCTAATTCAAATTCAATATTTTTCAGAACCGAATGGGCGTTACCATCTCTGTTTATCGAAGGGCGTACTTACCCCTCTATATGTATATATTAATTGTACCAATTCATCAAAGAGGGGACAAGTATTTCAACCTTAGTACCAAGAACTCGTAACTTGAACATTTCAGCAGTGTTCGGAACCGTACGATAATTATCGTACACATACGATAATTTCATGTCCACGTACGATGTACGATATCATATTATTATCGTACGCAGATTGTACGATAATTTTCATGCATTCAAAATTTATTTTATTCTTACCCTCTCAGACAATATCACGAAGACTTTTTTTTATTCGCGAATATTTTTTTTTCTTTTTGCTCACAGCGCTATAAACATTTTTGTTATACGCAGTGTTAAATTTAGAAGAACGTGCCTGCAACAAAAGAACGTTATCATGCTAGTATGTAGGTTTTTCCTCGGCAGGTAACATCCCTTCGTGTTGGTCACCAGATGGGTCGATGGTCTTCCCATCNACTTTGAAGATATTTATTCATAGGCACGCCTGGGAATTTCTTTGAACTGGACATCAACAAACAGGGATGGTTCGCAAATGTACAATTACCTACTTTCACAAACTTTTGCAATCACCCGCTGTGTCGGCATCTTCTAATTCAAATTCAATATTTTTCAGAACCGAATGGGCGTTACCATCTCTGTTTGTCGAAGGGCGTACCTACCCCTCTATATGTATATATTAATTGTACCAATTCATGAACCAGAGGACAAGTATTTCAACCTTAGCACCAAGAACTCGTAACTTGAACATTTCAGTGACCATTTTTTGCAACTTGTATTTTTTCTGTACTTGTTTTAATTAAAACATAGCTCACGGTGTTGATGTGTTTATTTTGAAACACCATCACCGAAACATATATTATGAAATATAAATTTTATACAATTCTTATTCGATTAAATTTTATATAACTAATTAGAATTACGGCAACCTAAACTAACCATTACTTAATCTACTTAATTGGTTTCGCTTTTACTTGATAGAAATTTATCATAAATAATTTTCCATACTTATATAGAAATTCATTATAAATCAATTTCCATACTTACATAGTGTGGTTATGCTTTAGGGTGCTTAAAAAAACTTTTTTTTGCAAATCCACACTAAAGGCGTTATAGCTCAACTCTAAGAGGTCGCTTTTTTATTTTTGTTCAAACTGAAGTGACATGTAAAGGGCTTATTTTTTTTTAAATAACCATAATATTCTTAAAGATGCCTTTTCAGCCTTCTAAAACTGTAGATACAATAATGCATCATTATCATAACTAGAAAATCAGTTACAACCATCTGAAAAATACTATATTTCCTACTACAGGGAAAAATTGTTTATTATAATAATTTTTGTTTACCTAATTTATTATAATTTTCATCGTTATTGGTGGTGTAGAGTGTATTTTT